CAGCTACTAGATTTTTAACCAGTAGGCCTACTAAAAAAACGGGACCATATTTCGCCGGTTTTATGTTCTTTGTACTGGCTGCCTGTGTGTTATCGAGTGAATTTTAAAATTCTTCTTTTGGTGTTTAAATCATTAAACGGTCTGGCCCCTCTCTACCTATCAGACTTATTAACTGACTTATTAACGGTCGTCCAACCCGAGATTATGCGTTCCGAAGTCGAAGCTGAGATGCAGGGGTGACCGTGCCTTTTCAGTAGCCTTTCTGTAGGCTATTCGCTCTGCATCATCACTGTCTGTTTTTAAATCTATGCTAAAAACTCATTTGTTTAAAGCAACACCAAGTAACTTTTCCTCTTTGGTCGCCCTACAGGTTGGAAGCGGAATTGTCCACTTTCGTAAATAATTTAACCTACCGCAGCCTACTGTAGCAGGAACGCTCGCTGTTTATAGCTTTGGAATGAACGATGTCCACAGACAAGGTAGAGTATGTTGCATGATTTCATGAAAGTATGATGTATTGCGACATCAGAAACGAAGAAAAACAAAATAATGACTATTGTAACGCTTGACGTAAAGCAATTCAAATTTGTAGTTTTCTTATGTCTCATTAGAACTACAGAAACGCGACCCGATCTAGCAATCTTACATAGCGTGGTTATAGCAGATATAGGACCGCAAAGCAGAGGCATAAGTGCCTTTCACCCTGTTACGACTTGATGAACCGAAACGATTTTGGAAACATTATTTTAAAAATCTTACTTACTGTTGCTTTAAATTGGCATATAATCAATGAGAAAGTTGTATTGTATTGTGTTTTTATTGTTTTTAAGTATATTGTATTGCTTTGTTCTGTTTTCATTGTGCAGCACATTGGACAACCTATGTTGTGATTAATAGTGCTATAAATAAAATTGACATTGATAGGTGTACCTACAGTAATAAAATGGCTGGTGTATATGCATGTGTGTGTGTGTCTGTCTGTGTGTGTGTATATATATATAAAATGCCAGGAATTTACAGGATTAAAGAATATTATTTTATAATAAATTACTGTAGTCCGATATTTATAGTGAATTAATGCATGCTGGGTCATTTTCTTACGAATTACTGTTAATCAATAACAGCAAAATGATTCTGACATCAGTCATTTCCTGCTCTTGTTTTTACTGTGAATTCACATCATACAGTTGTCTTCAACCATGCCTTTGACCTGTAAGAAATGATATTGCTTAGTACTGTAATTGTTTGGGATCTTGGACTTTGTATATTCATAATCAAATTTCTGTTCTAGCCAAGTCAGAAGTGTGGCAAATGAAACACTCGTTGAAACAAGCTAGAATATAAAATATGCTAATTGGCTGATTTTAAGTCATATGCTATTATTAACATTATTTCAGCATACCGGTTTTACCATTATCTTATTACAAATTCATAATTGTTTGTAGATGAATACTTCACAATAGTAAAGCAGCTGCTGAGATTTATCATTGATAGGTATGACATCATCTTGCAACACTAGAGTTATTTTCCAATGAGGCACAGACTTCAAAACACAACAATGGTGACACATAAAAGAGATCAATTCTGAACATTAAAAAATAAACAAACACTAACTGCTAAACCAAACATAAGTTCAGCTGCACAACACCAACCAAAAACCAACAAGAATCAAGAAACTCCACAGCATAATCTGTTCATGCCGCACTGCATGCTGGGTAGAAATACAGTATGATATTGTAGATTTTACAAGACATTTCCAAGAGTGCGGTCAGATACAAAAAAAACCTACTGTGGAATTTTAAAATTCTAAAATAATAATAATATTTTTAAGAATTTAAACATTTTAACAGTGTAAAATGTGCTTACGGTGTAATATATACATTTAAATATACTGCATGAGTATGGACCACTTTCATGATAGTTTGGTTCCTTTACCTGTATATCTTCAATAACACCTTAAGCACACCTCACACAACGATGCATATAGACATACTGTACACACCCCCAATAAACTGGGGGTTTCACTTTGACTTCATTTCTTCTAAAATTGTACAAATTACATTTAGTACAGACCAACACTTTAACCAAAACTGCACCCACACACAATTACCCTGGCAGCTATTATTGATGACTGAAGTCAAAGCAGTGAATCAAAACCAAAGAGGAGAATGAATGAGGAACTTCCTGAATCGATTGTGATTGTGGATTTCTTGTTGCTATTATTCTGCTAAAGAAACAAAGGTTGCATTATTTCAGTGGAATGAGAATAAATAGCATGTTTCACTTCTGCATTTGAGTTTTTTATTGCGAATGCTTTAAGTCATCAGACTTACCAATAAAAATGTTTTAAATTAGGTGTAAAATGGCGGTGAGTATATATATATATTTGTGTGTAATCATGAATTACGTTATAATTTATTGTGAAATTATTGGGAAATTATAATTTGAATATTTAACGATGGCAATATGTATACTTTATGTTAAAATCTTATTATAAAAAAATAGACAAGAATTTAAATATGGTTAAAAATGTATTTGGTTGTCTGTAAATTAATTTACCATATATGGTAAAACAAAAAATAAATAAAACTACATGTACTTTTACTTTTGTATATTATAAAAAATAAAATAAGTATTTTATTATATTATATTGTTAATTTATTATATATTATATATAATTTTTCAAGGCAATGTATATACTTTTTTGTGACTTAAAAATATGAATGGTCATTCCCAGTATTCCCTCCGTGAACCATTACATTTTGTAACATTTAATTTATTTGTAAATACATTTTTTATGGCATAAAAAAAGTGTATGTAAATGTAAAACATAATAATAGAATAATAACGTAATGCTTCTAACATCACAATATTTTTTAACAGCAAAGTTCTTCCAGGAAATCTTCCAGTTTATTACTTTAAATTTAAGCAAAAATGTTTACAGTATTGCCCTTGTATATAATAAACCAAAATGTTATAATACTCAAGAAGAAAGTAGTTGTGTTAAAAGAAGCTTAAAATCTTGCAATTATCGTCAGTCTGTCAGTTTAATGGTTTACTCACAGTCACAGAAGTGTGTGGCTGATAATTTCCCCCATTGCTCAACACCTCACAGTTTTAAGAGTATATAAGCCTCCATCAGACGCTTCCAATCAGAAGAGAAGCTGAAGATCGTAAGAAGCAACTCACAACATGAGGAGGATTCACTGCCAGCTGGGTTTTCTTGCAAGCCTGGTGCTTGTTATTCACGCAGGACCGATTACAGAGCCGGCTGACAAAGATGAAACCACTGCAGAGGTATGATTTTTTTTTCCATATATGCCTAATAATTTTGTTGGTCATCAGGCCTACTCATAATTCCTCCTATAATTCCATGTTTTTTTTTTTCTCTTTAGCATTACCTGAAGGGTTTTTACAATCTAACAGATGTAAAAACTGTCTTCAGACGAAGGGCCAGTCCACTAACTGAGAAGATGAAAGAGATGCAAAGGTTTTTTGGAATCGAGGTCACTGGAACGCTGGACAAAGAAACACTGGCGGTGATGAAGAAGCCCCGCTGTGGAGTTCCAGATGTCGCTGCGTACTCCGCGTTTGGAGGCAGTCCCAAATGGCAGACAAACAAGCTCACATACAGGTGTGTATGAGTTCTCTTGGTGTCACAGAAAAAAGAGAAGCAGAAACCAACTGTGGTCCTTTTCCTCAGGATTGAGAACTACACCCCTGACATGTCAGAAGCAGAGGTGGATGATTCCATCAAAAGAGCCCTGCAAGTGTGGGCAGACGTCACTCCTCTGAGATTCACCCGTATCTACAGTGGCACAGCTGACATCATGATCTCCTTTGCCACAAAAAGTATGTTTTACTCCTTCTTTTTACTTTTATGTCCATTTATCTATCCATCTATCATCTGTCTATCTTCAGTGTAAGTCATTTTAATTGATGATATTTAGTGCAGGCCAATTAGTCCAATTTAATCGTAAACTTGCTTGGAGACCTGGAGAGTTTGATGTTTCCCCATTCAAAGAGATAAGAGCTGTACTTGCGTGACTGAAAACATTGCTGCCAAGAGAAATGAGTGTGTGATGAGGCTGCTCACTGCAAAGCCAATGGGTGGAACTCGACGTCCAACCCCTCTCTGGAAGTATGGGTGGAGTTTGAAGGTCAAGCCACACCTCAACCCTACCTATAACCCTATCCCTAAACCTAAATAAGGTCAAGTTCCACCTATTACATCGAGAGAGGGGGCGCTGGATGTCAGTCAGCTCTGCATTGAGCACCACTTGGAAGCGGGAGCGATAACGTACAGTAAAGGCGGAACAAAAAAACAGGTATACGCCACGAGCATGTGAAGTGCGACAAGCCACTAACCAATGCAATGGCGCCATTAAATTGCACTTGTAAAATTATTTATTGAATATATGTCGGTTTTAAAAACTGTACACCAAATTGAAGAATCCCAATTCAGTTGAATTTGCCATTTCAAATGGTTAAATAGCTTAAAATTCATGATTTAACAGCCATATATGAAGATAGATGCATCAGCAGGATTATTAATTGCATCAATATTTCTTTGAAGTATGTCTTATCTGAAGCCCAGGTTTTTTGATTTATAAGCATTTTGTTTATAAAAACATTTAAACATTTATAAAAAAAGAAGACCTAAATTCTTTATTAGCCTAAACATTAAATGTAAAACATCTTTCCTACAGATCATGGTGATGCTTACCCATTTGATGGACCAGCAGGAGAAGTTTTGGCTCATGCTTTCGCTCCCTCATCTGGAATTGGTGGAGATGCACATTTCAATGATGATAAGTTATTCAGCTTCTGCTCATCAAGAGGTAAATTTAGCTAGTTTTTAGATTTTTTTTTTCTTTGATTTTAGTGATTGAAAAAGTGCAATGACGTCATTATTATACATTGTTACCTTGGCACCCCTAAGATTTGTTTAAATGTGATTTTAATTTGTACCTAATCTGTTCTACCTAATTTCTCTACAGGTTATGTCCTGTTCTTGGTGGCTGCCCATGAATTTGGTCACTCTTTGGGTCTTTCTCATTCCGACGATTCTGGCGCTCTGATGTTTCCCACATACAGCTTCAGCGATCCGGGTCTCTTCTCTCTGCCCTCTGATGACATCAGAGGGATTCAGTCGCTCTATGGTAATATGATCTTCAAAAGTACATCTATAATGTTTGAGTGAAACATATTCAGTCATTTGTTTACCATGTGGTATTTCCTTCAGGCCCAAACAAAGACAGAATCCAATCTGATCCAAACTTACCAACGGCTCCTAATGCTTGTGACCCTAACCTGACCTTTGATGCTGTTACAACTTTTAAGGGAGAAACAATGTTCTTCAAGGACAGGTAATGCACAAAAACAAATACAAAATTGTGGATTTTTATATAGACCTAAAATGTTTAAATGAAGCGACTTCATGTGTCTTCCTACAGCTTTTTCTGGCGTAGTTCTCAAAGCAGAGGTGTGGCGCAACTGATCAAGAGTTTCTGGCCCAACTCTCCAGACAATATAGATGCTGCTTACGAAAGTCCAGTCCAAGGAAAAGTTATCTTTTTCAAAGGTATTTTCTCAAACAACCTGGGAATGCTTTAACCACAATCACACCTACAATCTCTGTATTCATGCTCAGAAAACCTCTTAGCATAGCTGGTCTTTGTTTACAGGTAGACAAGTCTGGGCTTTTAATGGAAACAACGTTGAGCCGGGCTATCCCAAGCTTCTCAGCCACTTTGGTCTGCCATTGTCCGTAAGTAAAGTTAATGCTGCCGTCCACAACAAAAAGTCAGGAAAAACACTTCTCTTCGTTGACAAGATGTACTACAGGTTGGTCAAGTGCCAAAGCATAAACAAAAACCCTTGGATTTTGCTCTGAAAAAAAACTGTTGGAATATTACATTTCTCTTTTTTGGGGTAGGTATGATGAGAGGGCGAAGAAGATGGACACAGGGTATCCCAAACGAATGGCAGATAGATTTCCAAGGATGACCGGAGAGGTTACAGCAGCCCACCTGTCCAAAGGTAGGTGTTTTTAACCAATTTTCTACAAGCATTAAAGTACAATGATTAGACCTCATGAAGATAATGATTTTTTCTTCCAGGTTACATTTATCTCCACAGCGGGACAAAGATGTATGTGTTCAGATCCAACAGTAAGAGGCTTCACCGTGTGCTGAAGAGTAATTACTTCCTGCCCTGTTTGTCATGATTTAATAAAAAATGGAATGCAGCAGGTTATTTTAAAACTATACTGTAAAAAAAGTTGCTGCTTTAAATTTAAGTACAATCAACTTGGATATTTAAGTCATTTCAACTTAAGTCACATTAAACTGACTTAAAAAGTTAGTTGAATCTTGTATTACTTATTTTGATGAGTTAAAGCAATATAAAAACATGTTGTCATAACTTATTGATCACATTTTTTTAGCGGTGTATAGCACTTAAAAAGAAATGCATGTGCATAATCCATTGTTCATTGAATCTGTCTGTTGTTCAAATATGTTATCGGACTCTAATATGGCTGTTAAACTAATTCTAAAAGAATGTATATTGACAGAATCTGTTTAATGTTATTTTCAAATAAACTAAAGTGTTTAATTCAACTCAAGAAGGGTAGCATGTTCAGTTTGGAAGCAAGAATTGTTTTTGCCGCAGGTTAAATACTTTTAAATTTAATATGTTAAAGAGAATCAAAGCTGACTTACTGAGCAGACTGAGACTGTAAATCCAATATCGGTGATTGGCTTTGTAAACTCTGGAATATCAAACCATCTTAACTCTCAATAATAAATAAAACTCTAACGCTTTATAAAAGGTCAGACTTTTTGTCAAAGCATGTTGATGCTGAAGTTGATATTGTCAGGGTTCTGTCACTTCTGTCTATTTCTTGGTCTTATGACAGAGCCCTGACACTCCTGTTTTGTCTTGTCTGTGTGCCTTGTTTCATGTGCTTTCGTGTCTTGTGCTGTGTAGCACACAGCATGTGTTTTACCCTAGCTGTGTGCTTTCATGTTGTCATGTTTTGTGTGAACACGTGGCTTTTCATTATGCGTGTTCATGTCTCGTTTTGTGTGAGCACATGGCTGATGATTGGTTTTACTGGCCATGTGCTTGTGTTTAAGTCATGTTTGGTGTGAGCACATGGCTTGTCATGTATGTTTCCTTGTGCCATGTGCTCTCCTGTTGATTGTTTAGCCCCTCCCATCTTGTTACCTGTTTATTGATTCATTTGCCCCACCTGTCCTCCCTCATTACCTCCTTTGTTTGGTCTCCCTATTTATTCTCCCTGGCTGCGTTCCAAACCGCATACTCAATGAGTAGGTACTTAATTTCAATGAGTACTTACTCAACGAGCGCTAAAAGAGTAGGTACTTTATAGCCAGATCTCGTTGAGTATGAATGCGAACCGGACATCTGCCATGTTGATGTTATCATGTTACCTACGACGCGTTATCACACGCGCAACAACTTAAAAGATTTGAACGACACGTTTAATTCTTCTATCTGTAAATATCTTGATATTGATTAAACTTGCTAATTTTGTGGTCTTTTTGAAGAAACTGCTGCCCATTTACTTTGTAAATACATTTAGGGTTGATTTAAGTTCTTATATTTAACCCTACTAATGTGACCCACCGTTTTATACTTAACGATATTATTTATTTTTATTACAAAATTCCAAAATTGTCATCTCTTAAATATGTTATTAATTTCTTTATTTTATATCCAAACATTTTCATCCACAAGCAAAAAGTGCTTACTGCTTTGTTTTGCTCTTTTTCTTGTTGAATTTAACTCTCGTTTCATCCTTAGGCCTATAAATTACAAAAAAAATGAATTTTTTAAATGTATTATAATTAATTATTTAAGAAAATATATTTTAAGATATTCAACCCTGTAGGTTCTTTTTTCCTGTCTATAAAATCTTATGTATGCAAACCCATGATATATATATATATATATATACCTCACAAGTTATAACATCAGTAATTCGACAGCCCTACCTAGAACGGGTTTCCTCAGCGTTTGTAATGTCTGCACAAAGGGCAGCTGTGTGAAGATTCACCTTTAGAGAAAACTGTTGATTTTATACTCGAAAAATTTAAGTATCATTAATATTAAAAATTTATATTACCCCAGAATGAATTGCATTGCTATCTCACCCCCAAAACATACAATAATAACAACGATAAATGCTGACCAATACTTAATTATATTACTTTTTACTGAAAATATAATTCAATAAAACAAACAAAATGTAATGTCATATGACATAGCTATGGTTGAATACACTCTAGATGTGTATATAGTGAACATATGTACATTTTCATTCAAACAATTAAATAAAGCATTAATTAAATAATATTTTATTTACTGACAACAATGAGAAATATTAATAAATTAGTAAAAGAATGAATGAAAGTCACCATCACACAATAAACAAATGCATAAGTCAACACATGAAACAAAGCTTTATTCAAACTACAATCATGTATGTAGGCTAGGCGCTGAACCACATCCTTCTGCCGTCTCAACACAGCGGTTCCCATTCTGCGGCTTTATTCTGATGAATCAGCTGACCGCCAGAGGTGAGCCGTGCCTTCGTGCCTGAGGTTGTTGCGTGATGAGTTGTGCTTCACAATCTGAGGCAATAAGAGTAGGTGGAGTGATGGAGGGTCTCGTAAGGGCACCATCTACAGGATTCAGCTCTGGACTCCTCATCCTCAGTGCTCACACCAGCCTGCTGACATTTCAGATCCTACAAAAATGCACAAACATAACACAAAAGCAGTCATTTTAACCGCACAATGTCATTTGATTTCAGTATTATTTTTTTAGAAGACAAAAACGCTTTTTTTCACAAATGCCGCCATCATCTTTCCTTGCAGGTCCTGCTCCACCACAAAAGATCTGCAGCAAATGCACAGAAATCAAGAATCAGAAAAGTGCTGTAATAGCTCTGTTTGAAATTACAATAATTAAAATAAACTACAACTTAATATTGAAATAGTTGTTGTTATTCATTTCTGTAGTGTCACTCAAAGCATTTGATGGCAGCATTCAGCTTCATGATCTCTCCACCGGATAAACACACACATCTGTTCATCTGTCCCTGTAACATCCAGACAAGATTCACATTACCTCTGTGATTTATGAGCTCAACAACACTACATTTACATGTTGAGGTTGTTTTAACTTTTTATCCAACATAAATGTTCCTCAATTTATCAACAGTAATGGACAAATAAAATAAATAACTTATGTTTAGTTACTTTACAGATTTGTTCTACATAATAGCACACATACATCACTCAGGAGTCTATTTCATGTTGTGATGTGCTCTTCTGCAATACTTACTGAAGATTTTCCTGTCAGATGTAAATAGACATTTAAAATAAAAGTCTTTAAGATGTATATGGTTTATGTAAATCCACGTTAGAGACGTAACTTACGTGTCCTTACTGAAGCTCCCCTGTTAGCTAACGTTATACATAAAACGTGTTTTTACAGCAAAATCACAACTATACCATACTGTGTAACGTCTTTACACCTTCAACAATTCAACAGTTTACTCTACAGTAGTTCAACACATGCAATTTTAACACAAGGAACCGTGTTTACTCACATTTGAAAGCACCCGCGTCGCCGATCTCTACGATGTTTGATAATGACGTATCCTCTCGCGTGGCTTCCTGGGATAGAAGAGTATCCATCGGTTGAGCACTCGAAAATCTGTCCGGAAGCAGTAAGCCATCCGGGAACCTCTCGCCTACTCTTTTATGAATACTGATGTTTCGAACGTACTGCTTCCTTCACGTACTGTTTTCGCCTACTATATAGTAGGAAAGTAGGCATATTCGAACGCACTTAAGTCCGAATCTCGCGATAATTAGTACGTCACCCAGGTAATTCTCGCCTACTCTTTTGGATTCATACATACTTTTTCGCTCGCCTACTCTTTTTCCCATACTAAATAGTAGGGAAGTATGCGGTTTGGAACGCAGCCCCTGTGTTTGCAGTCCTGTGCTGTTTTGTTGTCGAATACCCCTTGTGTCCTGCCTAGAGCCTGTTGCCAAGTCCAGTCCAGTCCAGTCCAGTCCAGTCCAGTCCATCTTGTTTCCCCCCTCGGGATAGTTTTTGTTTGTATTTGTTTTATTTTTTATACATTTTTTCTGCAATTGAGTCCTCGCTTCATCTCCTCAGCCTTACACCTGACAGATAGTATTAGGCGTTTCTGAGTATAGAGCTATGAGGGATAGATTAGTCTTGTCATCGCTATGTGTTTGTAGTTCAATAAAAACAAGTAGAATTTCTGTTAAAGGATCGCTGGGACATGTATGGACAAACTTCCTGTGGTTACATTTTAGGGCATGAGTAAGGGTGTTTTGGATACCTCTGTTAAACAGCCTCAGGGTTGTGTTTTTGCATTTGCGTCTTTCATTAATGTCAGGATTTAGGAAACTTCACTGGATGTGCCCTGAGGGGAATTCCAGTGGTTATATAAAACTTCAATCAAAGCCTAGAAAAAAAAGAACATTGCTTCTGTCCTGTCATTTTTAATGCTTATTAAATTAAATGTTTACAGGCCACAAGCTCTGCCCACTTTACCTGAAAAGAAATTTGGAGTCTGGAGTGCATGATCTAAAAATAATTATTGCTATATACCTTGCAAATTATATGAACTGATATTAAAGCTGAACCTTTAAGTTAACAAAAGTAATAAAGAAAAAAAAAAACATCTCGGTATCTAAATGACATGTTTAACAAAAAGCAGCCCACTTTATCTCCATTCACTTTACCTGCACTCACTATATATATATATATATATATATATATATATATATATATATGACTAGTAAATATTTGTATATTACTAACATGGATCAAAGTGTGTGGGATAGAAATACTCTTAGAAGGACACAACTCCTGAGATGAATTTGGTCAAATGTATTCATTCATTTGATCTTTAAAGACGGTGAGATGTTTCTTGGCTGACATTCTACATGACATTATATAATTGAATATTTTAACACCAATTAAAATGCATATAAAAGAGCATTCCTTAAATAAAACCTCTTCTTCTTCTAATGTTGATCATACTGAATATCATACTGCACTAAAGTCTGTCATCACAATGATTATAATTACCTCCCAGAACTGTCTCACATGATTGCATTCCTAAACACAGATGCAAGATGACAGCGTTTATTGTGTTTCAAGTCACTTATGATGTAGAAAAACAACTTCCATTTTTATTACAGATATTTAAAACAAAAAGTCCTGGAAGTAACGATTTTGTTCTCTTGAACGTGATGGAAACGCTGCTTTATTTGCATTTTTTTATGTGCAACTTTGAATGGAAACTGCTGTATTCTAAATACCCTGCAGATTTCTTTTTTTATGAATAATGTGTTCTCAATCGCTAAGACACAATTCATGACATTTTTGAAATTATAATGTAGAAATTTAGACAATGTAAAAACGTAGTGTTGACAAAAAAAAAAAACAGTTAAAGTTGAGTTAACTAACTAAATTTTAACAATTAACTTTTTGACGATAAACGTATTAAAATAATTTACTGGCCCAATGAGGAATTAAGACAAGCTGTCAAAGGAACATGAAAAGCCAGCGCATCCAAAAATGTCTCAAATCTGGGTGCACGACAAAAAAGAAATGCAAAACAAAGTCAGCACATTGTTGCTCTCGCTGTCTGAACAAGAGCTGATTTGCTCAAAACATCACATTATAGTATTCTGGTGAGCTTACTTTTGAACTTTTTGTGTGTGTGTGTGGGAGCAACAGTGTGCTGACTTTGTTTTGCATTAAGATAAGCTGTCAAACATTTTGAACACATTTCAACCATCTCTCCTTAAAAAAAAGTAGTATCTTCATTCTATCATTGTGTGTTTTATAGGCTGCTTGCAATGTTGAAAAGAAAATCTGTTAGTGAAGATAAAAAAAAAACTAGATCTAAAAGAAATAAATTAGATCTAAAGTTATGACATAATATTAATCATACTGTACCTTTCCACTCAGAAGCAAAAATGCCAGTCAGAAATTGGAAATGCATCCCGTCTAACCAGAAACTCGGATAAAACAAATTGCCTCCGGGGATGAAAATGACAAGAAGGGGGGATATCAAAAGCAGAGGCAGTGAATACAAAACCCACAATCTTCCTAAAGCGGCCCATTCAGTTGAGTCATAGGTGAAGTCATCGTCAATACAAACTTTTGTCTGACATGTTCAGACAGGAGCTTAAACCCCCTGAAACTCTAAAAGTTTCCCACTCCCACCCCCGCTAATACCACTGCTGATTGGAAATGATAAAACTCGGGACAAGCCCCTTTTTAGACGATAAAAGACAGAAACAGAGACTCTGGAGGACACTTTTCTTTCCCTGCAGAGGAAGAGGACTGTAGTATGGGGCACTTGACAGCTCTAGTTCTGACACTTGTGGTGTATCTGGCTCTTTGTGATGGCGCACCTACGACTCCATCATCAGAAGACCATCAAATAGCAGAGGTCAGTACCCATATGCCTTATATATACTCTTATGTTTCTTATAATCTATATATTAATGTCATAAAACGTTCCTTCCTCGTTCTCCCCAGGCTTATCTGTCACAGTTCTACAGGGACAATAATGCAACTAAATCCCGCAGCAGAACGATGTTCCTCCCGGATCTAGAAAATGAACTGAAGGTCATGCAGGCGTTTTTTGGACTGGAGGTCACGGGCAAGCTGGACTCAAACACTCTTGAGACGATGAAGCTGCCACGCTGTGGAGTCACTGATGTGGCCAAATTCAACCACTTCCAGGGGAGACCCAGATGGAAGCAGAGCGTTGTTACATACAGGTTGGTTTAGCATGTACCTGTGCCTTCCTGTAGCTCAATCAGTGGAGCAACACCGAGGTCATGGGTTCGATTCCCAGGGAAAGCAAAAAGTGATAAAATACCTTAAGTGCAATGTAAGTCACTTTGGATAAAATAATCTGCCAAATGTGAAATGTTTAGCTCCTTAATGAAATAACAAATAAGACAAGTTTGTTCCCAGAAATTCAACCAATCAGATTAGACCTTGCCAGATATGGAAATGCTTTCCAGTTTTCTGTGCAAAATGCATGAGACTGTCCTCGGAGAGGAAGTTATTTTGATTAAAGACTATGAGTGCGCATGGAAATGACATGCATGGATAAATAATTTATAATAAACACTGCAATATTCCATAAAAATAGGAATTGTCAATTGGTGTCATGGTGACTTTTAAGGATACTAAACATGATTTGCTTCTTTCTCTCTTAGAATTACTGAATATACATCACAGTTGAGCCAGAGAGATGTGGATGCCATTATTGCCAAAGCTTTCCAGCTCTACAGTGACGTTATTCCACTCGATTTCAAACAGATCTACAGTGGCACAGCTGATATCATGATTCTCTTCAAAGCTGGATGTAGGTTCTAAACACATCCCTCATTTCCAAATATATATATATATATATATATATATATATATATATATATATATATATATATATATATAAATTATATATATTTTTTTTCCTTCCTGTTAGATCATGGAGATTTTTACCCATTTGATGGGCCTAATGGGGTTCTGGCACATGCCAACTCACCCGGTCCAGAGCAGGGAGGAGACACACACTTTGATGATGATGAGACGTGGACCCTAAGTTCACGAGGTGAATGCACAAATCACATAGAATCACATGCTTATGTGTATGTAAATTATTACAAGTTTATTTTAAAAAAAAAATCATTAATTGCTTTAGATATAAACCTGCTTTTGGTGGCTGCTCATGAATTTGGACATGCACTGGGACTAGATCACTCCAAAGACCCTTCAGCTCTCATGTATCCAACTTACCGATACGTCAACACGAATGGCTATACACTTCCCCGTGATGACCGACTTGGGGTCCAGGCCCTGTATGGTAAATGTTTTTTTTATTTTATTTTTTTATATAGAGAACTGTACTGTAATATCAATACATTAAATACAATCCTTATTATTATGGATAAAACAATCAATAAATATGTATTTCCCACCCATTTTCTATAATGTTTCAGGTGTTCGAACGTCAATAGATAAACCTGAACCAAAACCAGAACCAAAACCCAATCCTGAACCAAGCCCACCAGAACCGTGCAAGCGTGACTTAGTATTTGATGCAGCAACCAGCGTTCGTGGAGAACTGTACTTCTTTAAAGATGGGTAAGAATATAATTTTAATTTATATTGTTTAATATATTGTATATGTATAGTAATCTCAATATACACTCACCGGCCACTTTATTAGGTACCCCATGCTAGTAACGGGTTGGACCCCCTTTTGCCTTCAGAACTGCCTCAATTCTTCGTGGCATAGATTCAACAAGGTGCTGGAAGCATTCCTCAGGGAGTTTGGTCCATATTGACATGATGGCATCACATAGTTGCCGCAGATTTGTCGGCTGCACATCCATGATGCGAATCTCCCGTTCCACCACATCCCAAAGATGCTCTATTGGGTTGAGATCTGGTGACTGTGGAGGCCATTTTAGTACAGTGAACTCATTGTCATGTTCAAGAAACCAATTTGAAATGATTAGAGCTTTGTGACATGGTGGAAGTAGCCATCAGAGGATGGGTACATGGTGGCCATAAAGGGATGGACATGGTCAGAAACAATGCTCAGGTAGGCCGTGGCATTTAAACGATGCCCAATTGGCACTAAGGGGCCTAAAGTGTGCCAGGAAAACATCCCCCACACCATTACACCACCACCACCAGCCTGCACAGTGGTAACAAGGCATGATGGTTCCATGTTCTCATTCTGTTTACGCCAAATTCTGACTCTAACATCTGAATGTCTCAACAGAAATCGAGACTCATCAGACCAGGCAACATTTTTCCAGTCTTCAACTGTTCAATTTTGGTGAGCTCTTGCAAATTGTAGCCTCTTTTTCCTATTTGTAGTGGAGATGAGTGGTACCCGGTGGAGTCTTCTGCTGTTGTAGCCCATCCGCCTCAAAGTTGTGCGTGTTGTGGCTTCACAAATGCTTTGCTGCATACCTCGGTTGTAACGAGTGGTTATTTCAGTCACTGTTGCCCTTCTATCAGCTCGAACCAGTCTGGCCATTCTCCTCTGACCTCTGGCATCAACAAGGCATTTCCGCCCACAGAACTGCCGCTCACTGGATGTTTTTTCTTTTTCGGACCATTCTCTGTAAACCCTAGAGATGGTTGTGCGTGAAAATCCCAGTAGATTAGCAGTTTCTGAAATACTCAGACCAGCCCTTCTGGCACCAACAATCATGCCACGTTCAAAGTCACTCAAATCAACTTTCTTCCCCATACTGATGCTCGGTTTGAACTGCAGGAGATTGTCTTGACCATGTCTACATGCCTAAATGCACTGAGTTGCCGCCATGTGATTGGCTGCTTAGAAATTAAGTGTTAACGAGCAGTTGGACAGGTGTACCTAATAAAGTGGCCGGTGAGTGTATATGGGAAATGCTGAAGATTTTTTTTTTTTTTTTAATAAAAAAATTATAAACCCAATGTGGTTTTGGCAATGTTCATGTTAAAATGTTAACTAAAAAAGTTTCATTTAAAAACTATGTCATTTATCATGCCTTCATGTCCATTAGGTATTACTGGAAAAAGGGCTACTACAGTGGACTTTCAATGCATGAAATAAAATCAACCTGGCCATCCATTGACTCTGTTGATGCTGCTTATGAGTTCAGTGGCAGAGACATTAGCTTCCTTTTCAATGGTAAAGTCTAATTTCCTAAAGAGTCTTTAAGTGCTGTATAAAAAGGCTTCAGTAAATGTAGTGCATGTGGTCTTTCACATTCAGGTCAGCAGTACTGGGGAGTAAAAGGCAGCACTACTTTGCCTGGATATCCCAAACCCATAACCAAATTTGGATTTCCCACATATGTGAAAAAGATTGATGCAGCCGTACACGTGAAATCAACCGGACGCACTTTGTTCTTTGTTGGAAGCAAATACTGGAGGTGAGAAAACAATATAATATCGTGTTGATTATAATAGTTTTTTAAAATAACATCAAAACTAACATCATTTTTACAATGGTGTAGCTTCAATGAAAGAACAGCTCAGATGGACAGAGGCTTTCCTAAAACTATTCAGCATCATTTTCCTGGCATTGGCTCACAGGTGGACGCTGCTTTTGAAAATTATGGTGAGCTTAAACACAAAAAAACAAAAACATTAACAAATCAATCATTCATTTTTTAATGCTGTTCCCTTTTATATTTTTCCCGAATTTTTTTTCTTCTAATTTTTAGGTTATCTGTATTTCTCAGAAGGTCCAAGGCAAACGGAGTATGATTTCTCCTCAAAACGAGTGAATCGTGTTCTGTTGAACTATGGATGGCTGAACTGCTACTAAACATTTAACTGAAAATGTAGACATTTTCGGTCTCAGTATTCCTAATAATGTACCTACATTTTCTATTTTGTACAGACAATGCCACGATGTATGAATGTATGAATGTATGATTTTTTTTTAAAATAAATATGATTAATATTCACAAAAACTTGCAACTCAGTTCTAACTCATCTTCTAATATAATAAATAAAAATATATAAGAAAAAGTGGATGCATTTTTTTCCTGCAAAGTGAACAAGACATTTATGCAAATCAATATAACTTATTAACCTGTTTAAAAATACATTAAAACTTAGGCTAATTAAATTCTTTTTATATAATTACTCTTTTATAAAGAATATATTTCAGTTTCTGGATTTAAGACACTGTGGAGTGTAAAGTCAAACATGTCTAGATGGTGTAACTTTAAGATTATAAAAAAGGCACAAATCTCCTTTTAAGTAGTGGCATAGCCTACGTAGTTTGCCATAGGCCTAATCTTCAATTATTACAATTTCTTAACAAAATAAATAATAATATAAACAAACAAATAAATAAATAAAGCAGTGAAGACATTTTATTTTGTATTATTAACATCAGATTTTTATCTGCCAAATCAAAGTTAGAGAGGACTGTGTGTCAAAATCACACATTTAAAAACGTTTCGTGAAAAGGCACATTTAGTTAAATCCAAGAAAACTTTAGCTATTCCACAAAAATGGTATAACAGTATTTCAAAGATGTATGAAACCAACATGGAGACAAATATTACATTTCTTAGAACCTTTTACAAGTGTTTTAAAAAAAGATTTCACCTATCTAATGCTCTACTTTCAAGTTTTTCAACAACTATGACATATACTACACTACCCATAATGCTTCGGACCGTCGCCATGTGATGCAGACACACCTCTTGCGGTGATTGGCTGCTCTCTGCAAACGTTCACTCCATTCGGAGGTTTGAAGGTGAAATTTGTTCTTCTGTGTATGCAGTTTTTCATCGCAGTTATGGCATCCAGTGCCCTTTACAGCACACGCACACACCTGTGCAGACATCTGGTGAGTTTGAACTAAATAAATAGTTATTGATAGCCGAACTTTTGCGACTCACGGCACATGCAGCAGTTTGACTGCAGGCCTGTTTCATTGTTTACCTTTTAAAATATTGCGCTTCTCTTAGTTTATAACCTGTAGGTCGTCTTTGTTGATATAAATGCTGTAACCGGATATTATGTTAACGGACTCCCATTTTATAAATATGTCTTAGCAGGCACATAAATACCTAAGCAGGACCTACAGCACGCGACCATCTCTAAATGTGAGTAAAATGTTATGCGATTGTATCACTTCATGGAGCCAGAACTGTTTCTGTCAGGTGTGCATTCAGTAAATATGATCTTCTTTTCTCATTTGTCTCTGGACAGGAAGTTGTCATCGTCAGTGCTGTCAGGACCCCAATGGGGTCTTTCAAAGGAAGCCTTTCCACAGTACCTGCCACCAAACTCGGTTCCATTGCTATTAAAGGAGCCATTGAGAAAGCAGGTAGAGATCTGGGGCCAATTGCATGATAAACATAGCCATTATGTTAAATGTAGGGTAGGCTATTTGTTTTATATACACTTCTTGTTAAACTGGTTGGAATTCTCTTCACATCCTGATAGCAATCAGTAGTAGAAGTGGTCTAAATATCATAACATACATATATCTTCTGTGGAAGCCGCAGGACCAAAAATGTTCGTCCCAATGCAATGATACGATGTCCTACCTGCCTTTCAACATATGCATTTCCATACCTCCGCGCACCCTACTCGCGCAGACATCACACATCATCAACACTAGTGTAGATCTTTACAGTCTATGGTGTAGACACAGTTACTGAGTGCTGTAAACACAGTAGTCGTCTTTTACAGTTCCTCCTAAACCAAAGCAACGAGCTTATGCCTTGTTCAACCGTAATTACGAGATGGCAACCCATGACGTTATACTCGGAGCTGTTCATGTTCTCAGGCTTAAATTCTTTAATTCTTAATAATTAAAAGTCTAACTTTTCAAATGTCTGTATCAAATTTGACCAATCTACAATTTTATGTAACTGACTTAAAACAAATTATGAACAGTCTTAGATAAAATTTGAACTTGTAAGACTAGTCTTTGCAGTTAATGCAACCGGCCCCTGATAATCTTAGCAGAAATACACATTTTATTTTATATATTTTATATATTCTTTTCTTTTAAGAATATAATAATTAAATATAATTTTATGAGATTATGTATTATTACAAATTTTATTATGATAATTTTTTTTAATGTTTGGGTTCAGAGCAAATAAAAGAATACTTTTATTTAGCAATGATGCATTAAATTGATAAAAAAATGTCCGTAAAGACATGTATAATGATATAAAAGATTTCTATTTCAAAGAAATGTTGTTCTTTTGAACGTTCTATTGATCAAAGAATCCTGAAAAAATGTATTCGTTTCCACAAAAATAAGCAGCACGATATGTATTCAAAATTTATAATGATAATAAATAATGATTTCTGAAGGATCATGTGGCACTGAAAACTGGATAATTATTATGCTGAATATTCGGCTTTGCATCACAGGAATAAATTACATTTTAAAATACACTAAAATAGAAAAGTTATTTGAAATGTTAATAATATTTCACAATATTACTGTTTTACTATATTTTTGATCAATTAAATGCAGCCTTGGTAAACACATAAGACTTCTTTCAATATCATACTGACCATACTTTTCAAACTTTTGAACAGTAGTGCATATTATATGCACATATAATCATGTAAAATATAATAATAATAAAAACTGAGTAACACACGTCTTTAAATCAGAAAGGTGTGCTATTTGCCTATATAATAAATGCCACTTAGTTCGATATTTTTTTTTTATTATTATTTAATGCAATTATATTCATGAAATAAGTGTCATTTAAATCTACATTTTTAAGTCTTATTTGTTCTAGCTGTCTATGATAAAATTCCCTGATGTTAGGAGGTTTGCATGTCATCTACAGGAATCCCTTTGGAGGAGGTGAAGGAAGTTTACATGGGCAATGTGTTGCAAGCAGGAGAAGGACAAGCACCAACCAGACAAGCTGTTCTGGGTGCAGGTGAGGGATTTATTATACATACATTTTTTTCTTTCATTTTTTTGTGCTTTGCCTGGGACGAATCTACAAATGTAACTTCTCAAAGAGAAGTTTTAGTGCTAGTGTTGGTTCTGCTAGGATTGTGTAATGTTGTAATGTTTGTTTTGCCCATGCAGGTCTCCCTCTGTCCACTGAGGCAACTACCATCAATAAAGTGTGTGCCTCTGGGATGAAGTCCATCATGCTGGCCGCTCAAAGTCTCATGTGTGGCCATCAGGTAGTGTGAAAGACCAGAGATTCAGAAAGAGTGAACCTTTAATAAAGCAAAATGAGTGAATCTACATGATGTCTCCCAGGATGTGATGGTTGCTGGTGGAATGGAAAGCATGTCTCAGGTTCCATATGTCATGGCCAGAGAAGCGCCCCCTTATGGTGGAGTGAAGATGGAGGATCTGATTGTTAAGGACGGTTTGACGGACGTCTACAACAAATTCCACATGGCACGTACATATTTTTTATAAACGAGTAAGACCGATTGCATTGTATTTGCGTGATAGCTTAGCCTGATAATAAGTATTGAGTGAATGAAGTTGTTTGGAAACATTGGACGTTTAACACTGGAGAGGCCATGGTTGTGTACAACGCCACCATATTTCCCCATTTTTAGGGAAACTGTGCTGAAAACACAGCCAAGAACAGCAGCTTCTCCAGGGAGGAGCAGGACGCATTTGCCATCAACTCCTACAGCCGCAGCAAAGCAGCGTGGGAGTCTGGGATCATGGCCAAGGAAGTGGTTCCTGTGAGCATCCCTCAGAGAGGTTGGTTTGGTTTCACTACTGTAGCTGTTCAATTCCTTATTCGCAAAAAAATGCTTAATATGAGCTAAAATACGTAGGGGTGTGACGATATAATTATCTCATGAGACAAGACGTTACACAATATTGGCTTCACTAGAATGAGCCGAGATGATATTTTAACACCATTTATAAGAGATCTTCAATGATGAAATATATGACTGGTCTTTTATTCGACTGAATTTCACAAAATGCAAAACAATGCAGGTACAAGTTTGAACTAATCTAGTGCTGTCGTTAATTATTATTTCGGCAATTAATCAGTCGATTAATTTGATGATTAATCGAGTAATCGGACAATTTTGATAATACAAATAGACCTAAGTGAACAATAGCTTCTAAAATTACATTATTAAAATACATATATAATAACAATGAAGCAATAATAATTGGTTCATGGTTTTATTAAACAACTGTTAAAATACATGATGGAATATACACAAATATATATATATATTATATGCATGTTGCATGTATTAAAATGCACCATTATTGTGATTTAAAATCTTCTCTCACTGCTCAGGAAAACCAGACATTGTTGTGAAGGAAGATGAAGAATATAAGAAGGTTGACTTCAGCAAAGTCCCCAAACTGAAAACTGTGTTCCAGAAAGAGAACGGTACAAGATCATCACTTCAGTTCATTAGCCTTTGTGAAAAAGTCTGCATAATTCTACATGCACTTTTAGTGTTCTTCAAACCTTAAAAGTATATTGAAAAAAACAAACCTGTACAGATAATAAAATATTCCTGAAATAAAAGGCCACTTAAGTGTACTTAAAGATTGTAGATGTTTAGTTATTCTGTAAAGTACATTTTCAATCATTGTTTTAATAATCTCTTGTCATGACTTTCAGTCATGTGTCACTATTTTTAAGACGTATGCTTTGAGGATAATAAAGAATTGTTTTCGGTTCAAAAGACGAGCAGACCTTTTGTTTTTGCAGGCACAGTGACGGCAGCCAACGCTAGTACGCTGAATGATGGAGCGGCTGCTCTCGTGCTCATGACAGCAGATGCAGCAAAGAGGCTCAACGTCACACCGCTGGCAAAGATTGTTGGTGAGGCAAATGTTTAAATCATTTTATGGTGTATTCTGATCATTTCAACAGATACTGCAATGATTGGAATGACATGTTATGTAGGAATGGGGTTTTTTTACCCCAAAATTTTGCTCTTGTTTTTATCACATGGTTTAGTCCCGTTGTATTTATCACAGTTTTTTAGCTGTTAGCCAATGCTATGTCTAAAACATCCACCTGAATTCTTTTTTGAAGAACAACACCATGCTAAAGGCATTTTAATAATTTAATGTAAATAATTTAAATAAAGTTGTTAAGCTACAGTCTAACTACCCTTTTGATGAATGTTTGCATTTTTATATATATATATATATATATATATATATATATATATATATATATATATATATATATATATATATATATACACTACCGTTCAAAAGTTTGGGGACGGTACGATTTTAAATACTTTTAAAAGAATTCTCTTCTGCTAACCATGGCTGCGCTTATTTGATTAAAAATACAACAAAAATCAGTTATAGTATTAAATATTATTCCAGTGTAAATCAGCTGTTTTCTGTGTGAATATATAGTAAAGTGTAATTTATTTCTGTGATCAAAGCTGAATTTTCAGCATCACCAGTGTCAGTGTCTTCAGTGTCAAATGATCCTTCACAAATCAGTATAATATGAGGATTTGATGCTCAAGAAACATTTATTATTATTATCAATGTTGAAACAGTTGTTGGTCTGTCAGTTGTACAGTGTTTTTTTTTTTTGGATTCTTTGATGAATAGGAAGTTCAAAAGAATAGCATTTGTTTGAAATAGAATCTTTTGTAACATTATAAATGTCTTTACTGTCCTTGATAAATAAAAGTATTGATTTCTTTCCTCCAAAAAATAAAAATAAAATTCTCACTGACCCCAAACTTTTGAACGGTAGTGTATATATATCTGAAAAGAGTTTTTCAGATATTGTTCAAATGACAAAAAACCTAAATATTCCTGGAGGGTTAAAATACATTACATTTTGAAATAATCTAAAGCATAATATCTTATAAATGTCGCAACATAGAAGCAAGTAAATTTTAACTGTTCTTTAAAAAATCAACATCTTAGTATTTTCTTTGAAAATGTACATTTATGAATGTAAAATTTGCAAGGAATAGTAATAAATTAATTATAAACTTAATATGATAAGGGTCTAAGACACATTTTTGGCTAATACGAAAGTTTGGGGATAGTTACAAATAATTAAAGCTACCTGAAGGGTAGTAATGTTTCTTTTTAGCATTTTTAATAGGCTACATCACTGCTAAAATAAAGTATTTTTACTGGGAAAACTGCTGTTTTGACTAAACAGCTGTTTTACTGTCATGCTACTGAAAAATGTAGTTGAGTTGGTTGCATTCTAATAGTGAGTTACTCATATATGGCCAATTTTGTCGGATAATGCATGTTTGCTGGCTTTTCCTACACATCTGGACCACAATTTTTTGTTAATTTGCAGCTTTTGCTGATGCTGCTGTCGCCCCCATCGACTTCCCTATCGCTCCAGCCTTTGCCGTCCCTAAGGTGAGCTAATATTTGTCTTAATTGCAAAGCTGACGTGTTTTTGAAGTCGTTCAGTGTAATAACATCTATGTTGTGCAGATCCTGAAGGCGGCCGGTTTGAAGAAAGAAGACATTGCCATGTGGGAGATCAATGAAGCCTTCAGTGTTGTGGTGCTGGCCAACATCAAGATGTTAGACATCGACCCCAACAAAGTCAATATCCATGGAGGAGCAGTTTCCCTCGGACATCCAATTGGGTAAGCAACATCCTTCTCATGCATCACTGTTCACTACATTGACATACTGGAATTAGATTTGCGTGATAATTAATGTGACGGTTTTGCGATTTCTAGAATGTCAGGGGCGAGAATCGTAGGACACATGGTGCACAATCTGAAATCGGGACAGTACGGACTGGCTGGAATCTGCAATGGAGGAGGCGGCGCTTCCTCCATTCTGATCCAGAAATATTAGGACTTGAGATTCAGAAAAGGTCATTCATCTTTTTTTTTTTTTTATTAAAATAGGGGGGAAACGTATCAATGCTCATAAAATACAAACTTCCCAAATGGTAATATTTATTCTGTGCAGTCAATGTTGTAATGAAAGTGTTTATAATTGTTGAAATCTGTAACTGCAATAAAATAGACTATTGATTGACTGTTGATGCTGAGTGTGATGATTATACTCATAATAAGACATAATGCAGTTCCCCTGAATGAACACCAGATGGAGAACGTGCTTTGAGCTTTGCTGCTGATGAACCCTTTTCAGTTTTCACAGACTGTGATGATGTATTTCGGCAATAATTAACATTGTAAACTATAGAAGTTTACATATGATGACTTCTGTTTCTGAGAACCCTGGAAATGTGAAAAGGGTCCATTGAGGCAACCTGACTAGCAGTGACCTAAAACTAATTTATGCCACAAGTAAGTTGTAAATTGAACAAACAGTTGTTACTTTGTGATTGTTGAAAGCTGCAGATACTATAGTCATGAGTGGTAATATGGACAATGCATAAGTGACGGTTTTGACTTAAATTTTCACTTTCCACAATATTTTGGAAATTTACCCCCGGCCCCATCCATCCAAAAAAACAAACAAACATCCACGTTAAAAATAATAATGATAATAATGCAACTAATAGCAGAACTCACACACATTTTATTTTTATTATATTATGATTGTTTAGCATCTTTCAATCCCATTTTTAATGATATTTTGCTTATAGTCTTTATTAAGTGCAATTGTTTTATGTCATAATGCAATGAAATGTCAATTTGTGTGGACATAATTTTTGGACAGGCTGTCGTTCAAAGAAATTTTGAACATGCAAAAGCGAGAGAATAAACTAAGTATTATTAACTGATTATGCTGGAGTCAATCTATGCTGTTTCTTGTAAGCTTTTTGTTTTTCTATGCATTTTTTGCGTAGTAAAATAAAACCTGTGGCTGTAGTTTACCCTCTTTTTGCCTAATAATTTTGTCAGATAAATACCTTAACCTTAAGTTTAGTTTTGTTTTTCCCTCATATTTAAAATATTTAAAAATATCAAATATTTTTTCTCATATTTTTATGGTTTAATCAAACTTGAAGGCTCATTAAACACAAATCCCCAAACCAATGCCCTCCAGATATCACTTTTGTCCACTACTGTATGTTATTTACACACTTTATTTATTCACTTTCCTGTATTATTAGATATTTTGTTAAATGTCTTGACAAATGGTCTGTCAATTAGAAAACAAAATGAGATGTAAACTAATGTGTTGTTCACATTAAACAGAAACTACGGCCAAAAATTAAAATAATTATTTACTCACCCTTATGTCGTTCCAAACTTGTGACTTTTTTTCTTCTGCAGAACACAAAAGAAGAATGTATGGAAGCTTGTTTCCGCCACAGAATGAAAAATAAAAAAGGTAATTGCGACTTTATATCTCACAATTCTGACTTTTTTTTCTCACAATTGCGAGTTTACATCTCGCAATTCTGACTTTATTTCTCAGAATTCCGAGATATAAAGTCAGAATTGATTGATATAAAGTCGTAATTGTGTGTTGTAAAGTCAGAATTGCGTGATATAAAGTCGCAATTGCATGTTATAAAGTCAGAATTGCGTGATATAAAGTCGCAATTGCGTGTTATAAAGTCAGAATTGCGTGATATAAAGTCGCAATTGTGTGTTATAAAGTCAGAATTGCGTGATATAAAGTCGCAATTGCGAGATATAAAGTCAGAATTGCGTGATATAAAGTCGCAATTGTGTGTTATAAAGTCAGAATTGCGTGAAATAAAGTCGCAATTGCGTGTTATAAAGTCAGAATTGTGTGATATAAAGTCGCAATTGCAGGTTATAAAGTCAGAATTGTGTGATATAAAGTCGCAATTGCGTGTTGTAAAGTCAGAATTGCGAGATATAAAGTCAGAATTGATTGATATAAAGTCGCAATTGCAGGTTATAAAGTCAGAATTGTGTGATATAAAGTCGCAATTGCGTGTTGTAAAGTCAGAATTGCGAGATATAAAGTCAGAATTGATTGATATAAAGTCGCAATTGTGTGTTATAAAGTCAGAATTGCGTAAAATAAAGTCGCAATTGCGTGTTATAAAGTCAGAATTGTGTGATATAAAGTCGCAATTGTGTGATATAAAGTCGCAATTGCAGGTTATAAAGTCAGAATTGTGTGATATAAAGTCGCAATTGCAGGTTATAAAGTCAGAATTGTGTGATATAAAGTCGCAATTGCGTGTTGTAAAGTCAGAATTGCGAGATATAAAGTCAGAATTGATTGATATAAAGTTGCAATTGCGTGTTGTAAAGTCAGAATTGTGAGATATAAAACTTCTGAGGGGGGAAAAGTCAGTCTTTTTTTTTCCTTAGAATTGGCCTAATAACTCGCAATTGCGAATTTATATCTCACAATTCTGAGAAAAGATGTCAGAATTTGGAGATATAAACTCGCAATTATGTGTTATAAAGTCAGAATTGTGAGATAAAAAGTCTCAATTCTGTCTTTTTTTCTCGCAAGTGCGACTTTATTTCTCAGAATTGCGACTTTATATCTCGCAATTGCGACTTTATTTTTCACAATTCTGACTGCACATCTCGCAATTGGGAGATAAAAAGTCGCAATTATTTATTTATTTATTTTATTCAGTGGCGGAAACAAGCTTCCATAAGAATGCTTCCATTGTATGGACCAAAACAAAAAACACTTGAGACATTTCTTCTTATGTTCCACAGAAGAAAGTCAGTCACAAGTTTGGAATGACAAGATGTTGAGTAAATGATGGCAGAATTTTCATTTTTGGCTGGAGTATCCCTGTAAAGTTCTGACATTTTCTGTAAAATCTATATAGTTTTTGATACAATGCCTAATTGGCATATTTTAAATGTGGCCTATTCACCTGTAGTACCCCGTCTGTGTCTTTAAATGGACCGGAAGCATTTTTACACGCCACGTTTCAGACTAGAATGCTATGTTGTAAAATGACCTCCTCATGTTGCATTTTAACCCAATCAAATAATGATTCAAGAAGAGCTTTGAAAATGTTTAATTACTTGCTGTTACTGAAAATGGAAAATGTGGATGCTGTGCACCGTATACATACTATATACTGCAGAAATAGAGTAGTGTGGTAGTATGTTGTTCTGAAGAGACCTTTTTCAGTCATGTTACCATTTTAGACACTGTTTAACACAAATGTGTTAACTTTGTCCCAGCTATTCTCTTAACCAGGAATCCTGTGATCTTCCAGAGAACCTGTGACCTGACTGAGCAGGGTCTTTTCTGGGCCCCTATAAATTATCCACCAGCAGCAAAAAGCTCCACCTTGCATAAAAAATTCTGGCTCCACCTTCAGACGCCACACTTGTCACGTCACAAAGCTCATTCTCTGTGTACTTAGCAAAACTAACATACAGTTTATCAGCTTCTAATTATCAGTTGCTTCTATTTGTCATTGAAAAGTCATTGTGCTTCAGTCTAACCGATAGAGGATCGGGCCAAATATTAACAGGATGTTTTGTGATGTCAAAGTATCGGCCCATTGACTGAGTTACTGAATAACAACAGGTTGACCCTGTGTGATAGCTGAGCTTGGCCAACATCGTAGCCAACAGATTATCTTTACAGCTTAATATAGTGATTTCTCAATGTTTGAACCATCTATCTGGAAATTAAACAGGAAGTCTAGTTATGTCATGTGACAGACTAAACCTTCATCACATAAGCCTTGTGATGATTTTATAGCTTTCTATTATTCAGGTGATTCCTGGAAAATGTACGAAATGATTTCTTGTACTCCAGCTCGTGATTTTATGATGTTTACAGTTAGCTGCCCTTATTAATATTTATTTCCTAAAACTAGCAGGTACAACCATCCCAACATTTAAATTCTATTGACAAGTTACAACTTTACAACGCTATTATAGAGGAAGTCAAACATGATCTAAAATCATTATGAAAAGAGGGTAAAACATCATCTTGCACCAACATAAATTAGAAAGCTTTACCAGCCATACTAGAATCAATCACATTTTATTGTAATTATTGTGGTAAATTTTGTCTAACTTGTAAAATGTATAATACCGGTAGGTCATTTTATTAAATATATAGGATATTTATAGATTTATATTACAACTGTTGCATGTTGCAGCTATAGAGTTTCTAAATGTGTAGGTTGCTATTTTTCATAACAAATGCCATAGATCAATAAAAAAATGGGAGAAAAGTCAACAGGTCTAAAGAGGAGCCATCAATGGTCTTACTATAGCCTTATTGTAACAAATGCTACAGCTAAACAATTACAAGAGTGGTACATTTCCGGAAGTGCAAGTACAAGTTAGAATCAAGATCTTCTTGAATTATTGACCAAACAATACATTTTCTGCATGTGTGAAATGTGTTCTGTTTTAATGATGTCTGATATTAGGAAAAACCTTCAGATATTCCAAGACGGGGGGGGGGGGGAATATGATTGTTGTTGTTTGAATTGATTGATTTTATTTGACCACTTAAATATATATAATAAAAATATGAAACAGTAATCTGTGTCATACATTAAAAATACATAAATAGTCAGGGATGACACAATAAAGCCCAAAGACTTATTTACATTGTGGTCCCTATAAGGGCAGGGGGAGAGGGCAAATGGCAGCAAATCACACATCAATCATTCATCATACATTAAACAAATTCATCCATATTAGACAAAAAATTAACCATAAAAATAGACTATGATATGATAATGGCTACGATTGGCACCTAAGCCATACTTTCAAACCTTGTTTAAAACTGCCTATGCTTCTTACTGTCTTGAGTGTATCAGGTAACCATAACGTTGTGAACATAAACAACATCGGCAAAGTTATGAAGCTCAAAGTTCAAAGCAAAGGGAGATATTTTCTTTTAAAGAAATTGCTTTTTAAGGACTACAATAAGCGGCCGGTAGGGACTACACGACATTCCTCCCGGGTTAGTGACATCACTACACCCTAAAATTGACATAAACCCACCCCCAGGGACAAGATTTATAGATTATCATGACCGAATATGCTAATCAATGACTAGAAGATTACTACACATAAGTTACATAAATTCACCAACTAACCATTTAGAAATGTTGTCTACATGTTGTCACTTCTTGAGTCTCTCCTTCTTTCTGACTCCGGTTTGAACATAAAAGGCTAAACGTTTTTGAAATTTTCAGTGCATGTCTGTGTGAGGTAAAAGGACACAAGCTCTTGAAGCTCCGCCCTCTGTGCCGGGAGCAGCAGCTCATTTGCATTTAAAGGAACGGACACAAAAATGGTGCGTTTTTGCTCACCCTCAAAAAGTGACAACTTTAACATGCTATATAAAAATATCTGTGGGGTATTTTGAGCTAAAACTTCCCATACACACTCTGGGGACATCAAATACTTATTTTACATCTTGTGAAAAGGGCATTATACCACCCCTTTAAGTAAAGTTCCTTTGGATTCCCGGCACTTGGAAGTAGAAAATTCTGTCAAACCGATAAGGTTCCAGATGCTTAAATAATATAAAATACAACATATCTCCTATATGTAAAAAGGTAATTAGTAACTAGGCTATTGGCATGAATGAATTAGGATGGCAGAAATGACATGTTTAAGAAACAGGGAAGTTGAAAATGTGCATTTGCAAGCTTAGAAAATTATCCTTTTGAATCTCTTATATTGCTATTGTACCTCATGTTCAAAGCTGTGAACATGAAGTGAGCCAGAAGGAAGCGTCTTTATATGGAAGAATGTTTTACATATATTTTGCCTATTTTTGTCTCACCTCAAAGCTGTGTCATCTACAGTATGTTCTGTATTGATAAGACATGTTATACTTGTTTAGTAGAAAGACATTGTAATGCTCTTACAGTAGTTCTAAACTTTTAGTTCAGGTCAGCAGGGGTCATTTTGTATTTGCATACACCTGACTATTGAGAGTTTAGTTCAGCTGGTTAACCAAGCAAAGGTGTGGCATTGGCTGCTCATTACACATACACACAGCAGACGCAGAGTCCGCTAAAGCTCAAACACTATTGGAGAACCTGTCAGGTAAGTTTTACTATATATAAATCTAATTTATAATATGTATCAGTCAGAGAGAATCTGTTGGACTCATTTCATACAGATCTTATAGCCTTTTCTGAGACTAATAATGTTTGTTTTGCTGTATGTTCAATCAGCAGATTTGAGCTTGAAGTTCGAGAGTTTTTTGGATTGAGTTGAACAGTCCAAACAAAGCCAAAGGCTAAAGATGAAGAATAAGAATCCGGTAATGACATAATCAATTTTTTCTCTCTCTTAATTTCTATCTGAACATGTTTATCCTCTTCTTTCAGTCACCAATGTCATTTGTTTGTTGTCGAAGTTCTTTGTCAGATACTGTCAGTCAACACATAAGATATATTTGTAAAGCATTAACTATCCTCCTGACCAAAGACGAAGCTAATGAATGATTCATCGTGATGGTCCTTTAATCTTTTTTAAAAATTGAAAGGAAGTTCGATTTAAATGCATGAAAAACACTGTAAAGATAACATTGAAATGCATTAGCAACACAATGGTTGATGGCCTGATTTAAGTGTCTGGCCATGTGAGTTTCTGTTTGGTCTATGGCAGCAATGTGCTGTTTTCATATGTGTTCAAGTCATTTTCTTAGGGAAGTAGACAACAGGGAACTAATTATTGTGCCTGAGTGAAATTTAAATGAAATCAAAATAGACTTTAACTCATTCAGTACTGGGATTGGACTGTGTAAATGAACAATGTTAATTGCTAAATATTTAAAATAATAATACTAGTAGTGTTTTTGTGTGTGTGTGTGTGTGTGTGTGGTGAGAACTATCGAAGTAATTTAATTGTTTTCATGGTATTTGACATTCAGCAATTTATTAACTCTGAATTTTATATTCACATTGAATGTTATATATAGTTCCTGCCACCATTTTTCTTTCTTTATTATAATTATATTATTATTAATGATTATTGTTGTTGTCATTATGGTAATTTATACTTTTTTATTTATAAAAAAAAGTTCTGGTGGAAACTACAGTATATAATATATTCAATGTCTAGTAGCCTGTACTGGACATGTGGACTAAAATTAAATCTGAAATGAAAATCTTTATTTTTTTACCAGTGTTGTAAGAAAAAAGCAAGTAAAGCTTATTTCCTTTGTCTACGGCTTGTATAATGTTGAACTAACATGTTTATCAGATGAATTATTTGAATTACTATTAAGGCATGTTAAATACCTCAGTCTTTTTAGTATCATTGAAAGTAAGTAGCGAGTAATGATTCAAATAATGAACATTCATTTAATATTCAATCATTTCCTGGAACAGTTTATACATTGTTATTGTTAGTCATACTGTAATTAATTAACATGGGGACTGTTGTCTAAAATAGTCTTTTCGTAACTTTCCTTATGCATGCTAAATATCCTTTTCACACTGAATTACATCACAAAATGGAAGCAAAATAGTTTTCGAATGCTTTTTGAACCTGAGAAACTGACAAAACTCTAATTTCTTTCAGATCTACAACAATGGTTCTCAGGTGAACCATGGTTTCCAACATGAGGAGCAGCGGCCCCCTCCATATGCACCTTCTTCTGGAATAAACCCAGCTTTACCTCAGGACCCTGGTCCCCAAAACCCACAGTTTCTAAACCAGAACCCCTCTCCGCCATATCCTTCAGAGAGATACTCACCTGCTCAGAACCTGCACCAGTATGTGCCTCAAGCAGCATCTGTTAGTACCTGCCACACGACCACACCTGGACTCCACCGTGGCGCTAAACTAGTTCACAGAGGTATTTAATGCTTTTTAAGGCACTGAATGGCTTTTCTGAGGGAAATGTAACGTTATGCCACACATTGTTTACAATTCACGTCTTTCAATGCTTTAAACACTAATTGAGTGATTATATGAGACATGATACCGATTTTGGTAATTGTACTGTTTCTTTCAACGTACCTTCTGATATTCATTCATATTTATTTCGTGCTATAACTAGCAGTAAAGATGATGAGATTATCAGGTCACGTGCGCTACCAGGGTGATACAGCAATCTGTCACGTCACAAGAGCGCCAAAACCAGGCTCAGCTCCAAATAAAATAATAACCAGATTTTGAGGGATCATGCTTTTCAGCCACTTGGTATCACAGACAGCTCACCTTTTCTGGAAGTTCCGGGAGTCGCACGCATATTGATAGCGGCTCCCTGACACCCACAAATTATTCACACTATCCCAGAAATCAACCAAACGAAAGAGAAGCGGTATTAAAGGTGTAGTAAGCGATTTCTGAGAAACGCTGTTGAAAGTGGATTGGACCGAGCGCCCAAACACACTTGTAGCCAATCAGTAGGAAGGGGCGTATACACTCATTAGGGGGGAGGTGCCTGTGTTGCTTAGCGTGTTCGTGAATTTGGGGACATAGTTATCAAGATAGGGGTGTGATCCTTTTGGGTAGGGGCATGTTTGTTTTTGGTGATTTCCAATATCAACATTTTTCAAAAATCGTTTGCTGCACCTTTAAGATGCGCTTTCGGTGATCCGCTCACAAGTAGTCAGCCAAGACTCATTACCGTTTACACCTGGTACTAGCATGCGTTTCAAATGTGTCTCTTGTTACCACTCGAATGAACGAACCCGTGTTATCCGGCTTACGCAAATGAATATAATATAGTATAATATATAGGGGGGGGGGGGGTCTGGTATAAGAAATCCACTTGTTCATGAAAAATGATCTAAACAAAACTTACTAGTAAACTTACACTTTCTAGTAAAAAATTAATATTTATGTTCTGCGAAGCAAAAATGCTTTTGGTTTTTGTTCTTTTAACTGTTTTAATCACTGCCACCACCAACAGATGTAAAAGAACAAAAGCTAATTATTCATAAATGTATGTTAACAATTAGCTGTCGGATTCGTTTTGAAGCATTATAGAAAAATGCATCACTGAATTTGTGACAGTTTTGTAAAATGATCAGGAAGCTAAACAAAAGCATAAAGCAAGTAATTTATTCCTCTAAAATAGTATAGCAATGTTACTAATAATCCCTTTCAAAACCTGCCCCTTTTGTTATAAAATCTGAATTACAAAATGAATACAACATTTGTTATTAGGAAAGCTGAGACTTTGTTTCATATCAAAAGTAATAAAGCTCAAAGCTTTATAAGATTTATTGGATGTGAGGCGCGCTCCAAATAATGCTCAGTGAAGTTTTGTTCATGCATCACCTGAAAACAGCACAGACTAAAAAGATTGATTCATGGGATTTAATAATCGATAGTGGTGTATCAAATGAGAATCAAGAAATCAATATTTTCAAACTAGCCCTAATATTTAATGGATTTTAAAGCCGTTTAAGGTATTTATTATTTTATTCTTTTTTTTTTTTTAGTTTTGGTTTTTAATGAACTTTGATTTTCTGACAGCTTCCAGGAGAAAAAAATGGCCATGGATCATTGGCACAGTCGCCACCCTTCTGGTCATTGCTGTGATCATAGTTGCGGTGCTTTGGTTTTATGGTAAGAAACTCTCTCATTGGCTTTCATACAATACATCCACCTGTGGTTTCTTGTTCTGACGTCCTCTGTCTGCACCAACAGGTGTGTTTGAGTGTTTGCAAGGGCGGCGCTGTACCGCAGATAACAAATGCGTCAGCTATTCGCAGTGGTGTGACGGTAAGCTGGACTGTCCATCAGGAGGAGATGAAGCTCATTGTTGTAAGAATTCCTGACATATGTTAAACCGTGACTTTCCTGATCCCGATCGATGATGCCCTCTTTAGTAAACCCAGTATACAGCTTTACTTCTTTCTTTGTTGTTGTTTTTGCAGTCCGTCTGTATGGATCTAATTTCCTCCTTCAGATGTACTCAAATGTGAGCCAAAAATGGGAGTATGTGTGTTCAGATGGATGGAATAACAAGCTCGGAATTGAAGCATGTGAGGAGATCGGATACGAGAGGTAATGATAGTGTGATTCATCTCACTGGAAGTACTTCAATTAAAGGAGTATGACATTTTCCCCAAAGAAATGAACACTTTTATTAAGCAAGGACACATCGAAATGATTCAAAGTTACAGTAAAGAAACTTGTCATGTTACAAAAGTTTTTTATTTCAAATAAATGCTGTTCATTTGCACATTTATCAAAGGTTTCCATAAAGATATTAAGCAGCACAATTGTTTTCAACATTGATGATAATAATGAATGTTTCTTGAGATCTGAGAATGTTTCTTGAGACTTCAAATCTGAATATTAGAATGATTTCTGAAGGATCATGTGACACTGAAGACTAAAAAAGTGGAAAACACTCTTTTTAAAATTGTAATATTAATTCACAATATTACAGTTTTTACTGTATTTTTGATCAAATAAATGCAGTTTTGGTGAGCACAAGAGATTCCTTTTAAAAACATTTAACAATCTTACTGACTCCAAACTTCTAAACAGTAGTGTATTCATACAGTGACATGTTTAATATGTTTACAAAATGCATTTTGAATGAATTGTAATATGTGCTGTGTGTTTGTTTGTGGTTTATCTTCAGGGACACGTACATGGGTTACGAGGAGATTGAGTCGAGAGAATTACTGGACTACATGCTGGTGAAGAAAGATACTCTGAATATATCCACACAAAGTTTTCTCAGTAAAAGGTGTGTCACAGAACTCAGCTTACACAGAATTTTTGTTGACTCTTTACAATAAGGTTTCATTTGTTAACATAGGCTAGCTACATGAGTTACATGAACTAACAATGAACCACACTTCTACAGCATTTACTAATACACTTTTAAGATCAAAAATTGTATCTGTTAACATAAGTTAATGCTTTTTGTTAACTAACATTAGCAAAGGCAAATACATTTTTATCAATGCGTTAACTAATGTAAATAAATGAGACTATTGTAAAATATTACTGAATTTTTATACTGACGTCTTCACATTGTTTAGGTTTTACACTTTTGGTTATTTTATTACGGTTTTTATTAATTATTGGTTAATAATGTTTTTTTTTATCCCATATAATCAGCTTGTTTAAAAATTATTTTATGTTTCTCTTATGATAATTCAGTTCATACTGTCCATCTAACAAAGCCGTGGCACTCAAATGTATTGGTAAGATAATAGTTTTCCATCTCTTTATTTTTAATTTTTTTAGTTCTTTTTTTGTAATGAAATAAATATTTAGGGTTTTTTATTAGTTTATTTTGTCTGCATGCTATTTAATGAAATCAAATTAAATTAAATGTCAATGTAGATAGCTATTTTTGATGTAGTGTAGCTACAAACTACTTGGTTGGTTAGGTTAGTTTGACTGTGGATAAATTAAATTTCCATTTTTGGGCGAACTATACAAGTATAGTTTGTAGCTAGGAAAATAAAATGTTCACATATACTAATGCTGTTTTCTGAATTCTATTGTAGATTGTGGACGGAGCAGCGGGAGCCGAATCGTGGGGGGAATGACGGTGCAGTCGAAGGGGGTGTGGCCATGGCAGGTCAGCCTGCAAGCTTCCGGAAGGCATTTGTGTGGCGGGTCTGTCATTACCCCGTACTGGATCGTCACTGCAGCTCACTGTGTTCAGGAGTAAGTGCTTTCATTTAGTCCATCTCATTCAACAAGCCATGATGAACTCTAATAAATGACAAACTTGTGTAGGATTTCAAATGCAAGGGATTGGACGGTGTATGCTGGATATCTGACTCGTAGTGATATGCGGCTCGCCGTCGGCAATTCTGTAGGCCGGATTGTCAAGCACGACTTTGATCCAAAAACCAATGAAAATGACGTTGCACTGATGAAGCTAAACCGTCCACTCACAATTACAAGTAAGACTAAATGTTCACGTTTATTTCCCAGCCAATAAGAAAATTTCATTATAATTTAATAATACTAACAATAAAAGAAATAAAAGCATTTTTTTCATGCAGTGTTATTTTAGTATTATTTATGTACTATTATAGTGTTTATTACTATTTTGAATTGGGATTTATGGTTATATTTTCAGTTTGTTATTTTAGAACTTCATCGTAAGCTTATTTTATTTCAGTTGCTCACCAAGTCAACATTTTCTAATTTCAGGGGGTTTTTTCCCGGTTTTTAATTTTTTTCCATTAAAAAAAAAATCATATTTTATTTAATTTCAGCTTTTCATTTCTTTTTATATACTTTTAGTTTTAGTTAACCGTAACACCACTTGTTTCAAGCTTGCTCTGATAGTTTTTTCATTAAATGTGACACATTTTTAATAAATGAAAAATTACACATTTTTAATAAATGAAAAATTACACATTTTTAATAAATTAAAATTGTTAGTTTATGTTAATGTTAATATTTAACATTGCGTTTAACAATACATAACAACAACAAAAAATTATATAATTTTTTTTATTTATTTTTTTATTAAAAATGTGCCAGTTTGGTGAACTAAAAATAAAAATAAAGTATTAAATACTCATAAAAGTTAATTTGATTGAACTAATTTGTTCGTTTACCCTATTCAAAACATTTAATTATTTTGTTATTGTTGCTTTAAAATTTAGTCAAATACTCTAGAATTATTTTAATTATAACGATTTGTATGATGACCTGTTCTTCACACAAATTACTTCAGAAGACAGACGTTGTATGGACCACTTTTACAAAGCTTTTCCCGACCATTTCCGTTGTGTTGAAATAAAGAGCAGCTTGAACATTCTACAAAATATCTCAGTTTACAGAAGAAAGGTTTGGATGATGACAATTTTTCATTTTCTTTTGTATGTATCTAGTTTCAAACGTCAAGCCAGTGTGTTTGCCCAATAAAGGCATGTACTTCTCTGCTCCGCGGGAAAGTTACGTCACAGGATGGGGGGCACTGTATAGTGGAGGTTTGAAACTTTTTTTGAAAACAAATCACAACAGATCCAAATGCATGTGCAGTGAATAAAATCGGACAGAAAATAAGTCATGTCAGCTCTCTAAAATCTCAGAAATTGAAACGTTTGATAAACAAATTCTTTGTTTTCTTAAAGGACTTCCCTCAGAATCCCTACAAGAAGCCAAAATTTGGCTAATCGACAGAACGACATGTAACAGCCGACAGGTGTATAACGGACAAATCACAAACACCATGATCTGCGCTGGCAAGCTGGAGGGTGGCGTGGACTCCTGTCAGGTCAGACACACACTCTGGATGAACACACTTAGATCATTCAGAAGAGTAAATTAGAGTACTGTAAATATAATATATGTGCAACAATTAAATAAGTGCTGTTCCACACAGGGGGACAGTGGGGGTCCTCTGGTCACAAAGGAGAATTCTCTATGGTGGCTGGTTGGGGACACTAGCTGGGGTGATGGATGTGCTTTCAGAAACAAGCCCGGAGTCTACGGAAATGTGACCTACTTCCTTGACTGGATATATGAACAAATGCGGGTAAGAATTCAAATAAAAATCCAAACTGTGTCACAGAAAATGTATTATTATTATTATTAGTGATTTTTTCAAATATACAATTAATTTATAATATTTATTATTAATAAAACACCTCTTTGAATTCTTTTTCAGAAATATTAGCTTTTATATTTATATAAAGAAGTTTTGAGAAGAGCCACTGATCCAAACCAATGAAACGTAGGAACTGTAACCGTGTCCATGAGACTTTTTTTGTATTCTTGTTTTTGCTCATTTTACTTTTTGTTTTCATGTTTCAATGTTTTCCGATAAATTTAAAAGAACCATTTATTTATTTTCACTAGTGCCAATGAAGTGAATTCCACAGTATGCTACAATATGCACTTTTCTAAACATTTTTTAATGTATGTTTTGTATAAAGAACACAATTGTACAAATGACTTCATAAAAATCTACACTTGATGATGGTGTCCTGCGTCACTGGCAAATTTCTGTCATCTTGGTTTCTTTGATATTGCAACAGTTCATATTTACATTATTACAGTAGGCTATTTGACAATATAACAGGGTGTGACGGCAATATTGCCGCTCCTATCAGCACTGTGTACAGACTGTATTGCAAAATAATACTTTTATTATAAAGCTTTATGGATAGTTGTACTTGTTTTTAACTACATCAATATTTTTAGGTTAAATTTTATATAAATGTATAAAGGAAAGTATATATCCTAGGTCCTCTGACTGGATACCATACTTTAATTTTTTTCACCATTTTTTAATCACTTGTTTTGCCTTCACATTCAAGTACGGTAATTTTTATGAATATACATTTTTCAAGCTGTCTCGAAATTACAACCCATATATAAAATTACTTAAAATACTGAGTCAATTATGCTACACATTTGTTTATATGTGGAATTTGACATTATTTATTATATTTTAATAAGATACAGTATTATATATGAAGTATGTACTTTGATATTATCATATGTATTCCTTAAAATATAATAATATCCTGCCATATATAAATTTGCACACAAAAAAATAAGTTCATATATAAAAAATGTTAAATATAAAAATCAAATCTAAACATTTATATAGTAATATAATATATTCCTCATATATACTGTATATACAAATAATACAAAATGCATATATAACTTTGGGTATTTTTATATTTTGAGGAATACGTATTATAATATCAAAGTTCATATATAAAATTATAATTTAATTATATAATTAAAGATTTTATATGTGAACTTTGATATTATCATATATACATATATAATAATATCCAGTCATATATAAATTTGTAAAAAAAAGAAGAAGTTATAATCCAAGTTCATATATAAAATTGTTAAAACATAAAAATATTAACATTTATATATTTGTTTCTTATCAAATCTTTTTAAAATAGTCAAAATATAAAAACAAAGTTCAAATGCGTAGCATGAAATATGTGACGCAGTATTTAAGTTTGTATATGGGTAGTTGACAAGAAACATGGATATGACTATATCTTTATGATTTTTTAACTTAAATATTAATATACTTTGAGGACAATATAAACTATATTATTATACTATTTATAGTCTGTGACTGTAAACAAATTGATTATTTGAATAATTCCAGATAACTCTGAGAACCTCCTATTGGATGTATACATCTCTTTTATGGCTTTATGAAGCATTTAGGTCCTCAATCCGCTGACCAAACCACAAGAGTAAAAGTCCTATTACCCATTTTTCCTTCGCGCCTAAAAAAAAAGAATTCACACCAGCCCACAGAGCCCTCACGGTTCCTGGCTCTCAGTTAATCACCATTATGAAGTGTTATAGCATATTCAGCAGCAGTATTTAAACCTCTCCTTTGCCATTTTAGCAGGACCTTTAATCAGCGCTCATTGAATTTGCGACTCTAATCGGCAGATGCTCAGTGGAGGAGATCAGCGTCTGCTACCTGTTTGTACCAATTAGCAGATGCGTGACACTCGGCTGACGGCTCTTCAGAGGGTTAACAGATGTGGCAATTACGGCCTCATTTGAATGAATGCTCAAGGGGTTCAACATAAGGGCTGTGCAATTACACGGCAGCCTGGGAACCCATTTCATCTTCAGCTTTATTCTCGGTCTCTGTAAGAGGGAAGTGTTGGCAGGGAACCCACGGTGTGTTGACAAACAAACCTGCTTCCCGTGTTTTTTTTTGTTTTTGTTTTTTTTACCGGGGAAAATATGCTGAGAGGTCCATAAACCCAAAAATATCACTGATTTAGTCCACTCTGCATGGCCTGACTCGAGCTGCACGAGTTTCGAGAATGAATGAATGAGATTTTAAAGGATATATTATTGCCCAGGAAATGGTTTTATTCAGATTAGGTTCTGTCAGGAAAAAACGACATTTTGTTTTTGCCTAAAAGAGGTTTTGAAAACAGAAACTAATCCAAACTAACACGGATCTTGACAGTTTAAAGAGGATTTTATTTTATTTTATTTGTCTCCTGTAACGTAAGTAAACAAATTATACATAGTGAGTAAATAAATTAGATTCAAATAAATAAATTAGTTTTGTTTTTGTATAAAAGAGGTTTTGAGTAACTAATGCAAACCTTTGACACAATCAATTGGATTTTATTTTCTTAGTATTCTGTACCATTAATATGTAAATAAACTAAACATATAAATAAATTTGATTGGAATAAATAAATGATTAAAATGTGATTAAAAGTAAATACAATTAAAATTAGATAAATAAATAATAATTAACAGTAGGCTACATTAGTAAATACATAATAATAATAATAATAATGTAAAATTAGAAATAAAACTAATACAAACTATTATTAGATGTATAATATTAATTTTCCAGTGTATGAATTGGGTGTATCTAAAAGATATGCCTTTTAAATTTTAACATCCAGGTTCCTCAGGATAATCATATTTGGGGAAAACCCCTGGCCTATACACTTAAAGGCTAAAAATGGAAATGATATTCTCACTTTCACCTTTTGTGGGAAACAAACTTAGTTTGTTAGAAACAAAAAAACTTAGAAACAAAACCAGCTGATTACTTTCTAAATAATGGACTGACCATAAATGTATAAAATGGCAAACAGCAGGTTTGATATCAATTTCAGATAGAAGTTAGAGAATCAATATGATTGACTGACGTGAAAGATGATAGTATTTTTTTTTTCAATCATATTAAGTCTTCAGAAGACTTGAAATTAAGTTTTATTGTACTTTGTTTTAAGTTGCTTTTGTGTCGCAGTCAAAGCTTGGCATCCCCAGTAGGCCTACCAATGATTCAATTCCATGGTAAGGAGCAGCCATGATATTCCTCCTAATGTGTTAAATTGCATGAGTGACAGGATTGTAATATTTGAGTAAACTATGCCTTTAGGAGTCACCCAGGTATGAGCAGCAGCAGGGCACAGATTCTCCAGAGAGGACAGATGCTGAGGTCTACTGTTCGCTCTCACATGAGGTTTAGTGTCCTCAGATCAAACAGAGTGTGTCATTTAGTCTGAGGGCCTGATCAAATACACTTGCTTCTGCAGCCAATGAGGGGGTAGAGCTTGTTACTGGGCAGTTATGGGTTTAGTCTCTCTCTCTCTCTCTCTCTCTCTCTCTCTCTCTCTCTCTCTCTCTCTCTCTCTCTCTCTCTCTCTCTCTCTCTCTCTCTCTCTCTCTCTCTCTCTCCTCTTGAGGTCGATGTCATACATCAGCGTTCATAGATTCCCTGTGCTGCTGTGTGCGATTCTCCTGAACATCAGCAGTCTGTGCTGCTTTTAAGATCAGCTAATAGCATCAACTATCAGCTCACCTCAGCAACACGAGCAATATTAGGCTTATTAGAGGAACACTACCTGCTGACTTCAGATTATTTCTGTATATAGGGAATGTCAAAGGATATATTCTTATTTGTATTGTTTTCTAGTCTTTTCCTTTTTTTACTCTGCACCAGCGTCTTTGCCTTAACGTCTGTTGCATCCTAAGTAGCAGCTAGGCATGTTTTGAAAACGCCTTTAGGCCAGCGAGAATCAAACTTTTTAATCATAAACTACCTTGTTATATTTAAAATTAAGATTCTTTTCATTTAAAACTGTAGATATGCGGATAATCTTTAGATACTAAAAAGGAAGAATAAAAGCGTATAGTCTGCGCCAGTGTGTTTATGTAGTTCTCCTGACAAACAGAAGGGGGCGTCACTGTCAACAAACCTGACAATAAACTACCTCAGAACGTAGTTGTGGGGTTTCCCTTAGTTTTCACTCACAGGCCTTCTTTAAAAACATTAAACATTTGAACGCTTCACAAGATTAAATATGATAAATCAAGCTAATTAAAAAAAAATATTTAGTAATTGTAACCTAGTGTTTTCGACAATATTGGCTAAGTAACTTATAGAATGGTAGCTAATATTGCTACCATTCGTTACACATAACTTGTGTGCCATTTCTTGTAATCTTAGTAATCATATACCATTTCTGACTAAATTTTTTAATTGAATGAACCATCAAGAAAGATATTCTGTACCTTTTGAATACATGTAAGTACAACTTTTAAGTTACTGATTTAGCCTAGGTTTCAAACTTGTTTTCCCGGGGTAGCCTAGCATATTTGTGATAATGTAACGTTATGTCATTTTCAGTATAGTGTTATGGTCATTTTTTTACAGTCTATGGTTATGGTAGCACTTCATTTCACTTCACTTAAATTATTTTACAGTCCATTTACCCATGTACATACTATGAACTTATTATAGGAATTGCAATAACTAGGTAGGACTAACCCTGAACCTACCCCTACCTTACCCCATGTAGTTTCCTTATTGGCTATTACCAGTACCTTTCTTAGGTAAGTGCACATACTGTAAAAAAGTACCTTTCTTAGGTAAGTGCACATACTGTAAAATAAAGTGCAGCCTATAAATGTAAATTGATGAAACAACACACATTGGAACCTAATATAAATTGCAGTGGTAGAAGTGTATGTTTTGGATAATCCATCGATGTGAGTGTCTAAAGACAGAATATTCTTTGCGATTCTCTTCAGCTTGTTCTGTGTTGGTCAGTCTTTCTGTTGACAGTTTTGTATTTAGGTCACACAGGAGCCCTCGGGCAACAGTAAAGCATGTCCTCTACAGGAGTGATTGACACCTTCTCTGATGGCGAATGAAGTCTCCAGCTTCTCTGGGCTCCAGCCACAATAATAACACGGTCGGCCCTCATCTCATATTTTTAATTTAT